CAGGGGAGTTTGGGGTACCCTGGTCACGATCTCCAGGGTGTGGTTTTGGGGGTCCTGACATGAGGGGTGTCAGTGGAGGGGTCTGAATTTGGGTTATATTTGGGATTCCTGCCCAGGGGGTGCAGGGGAGTTTGGGGTACCCTGTGGTTTTGGGGGGCCCGGGGGTCCTGACATGAGGGGTGTCAACTGAGGGGTCTGAATTTGGGTTTTATTTGGGATTCTTGGTCAGGGGAGTTTGGGGTACCCTGGCCACAATCTCCAGGCTGTGGTTTTGGGGGTTCCAGGTGTCCTGACATGAAGGATGTCAATTGAGGGGTCTGAATATGGGTTTTATTTGGGATTCCTGCCCAGCGGAGTTTGGGGTACCCTGGCCATGATCTCCAGGCTGTGGTTTTGGGGGTCCTGACATGGGGGGTCTGAAATGGGGAGTCTGGGGGTCTTGACCGGGGGTCCTGGGGATGTGGGCAGGTTCTCCAGGGGGTTAATTTTGGGGGACCAGGGGTCCTGATGGGCAGGGTCTAAGCTGGGGGTCTGGGGGGTTTTTGAGGGGTCCCAAGGTTTCTGGCCAGGGGGTCCAAACCACACCCTGGAGATCGTGGCCAGGGTACCCCAAACTCCCCTGCACCCCCTGACCAGGAGTTCCAAATAAAATCAAAATTTTGGGATTTTTTCTGAGGTATACCGGGTTCTCCAGGGGGATGGTGTTGGGGGGTCTGGAAATGGGGGTTCCAGGGGTCCTGATTTGGGGGATCCTGGGGGATCTGCCCAGGGAGTCCCAGCATCCCAAATGGGGGTTCTGGGGGATCCCAGCATCCGAAATGGGGGTTCCGGGGGGGTCCTAGCATCTGAAATGGGGGCTCGGGGGTTCCTGACTTGGGGGATCTGCCCCGGGGGTCCCACCATCCAAAATGGGGGTTATGGGGGTCCTGACTTGGGGGATCTGAGGGGATCTGCCCAGGGAGTCCCAGCATCCGAAATGGGGGTTCTGGGGGGGTTCCAGCATCCGAAATGGGGGTTCGGGGGGTCCTGATTTGGGGGATCCGAGGTGATCTGCTGCGGGGGGTCGTGATTTGGGGGATCCGAGGGCATCTGCCCCGGGGGTCCCCCAGAACAGCAGTGTCCCCTGTGCCCACAGGCAATGGATGCATGCAAGCCCCCCAACTTCTCCTGGGTGGTGGAGGGGCGGCTGGCGGGGCTGGCGATGCCCCGGGAACCGGGACATTACCGGTACCTGCGGGAGCTCGGCGTTCGGCACTTGGTGTCCCTGAGCGAGCGGGCCCCGCCCCACCACGGCTGCTGTCCCCAAATTCAGCTCCACCGGCTCCGAGTGGCCGATTTCACCCCGCCGAGCCCCGAGCAGATCCGGAGCTTCCTGCGGATCGTGGAGGAGGCCAATGGCCGCGGGGAGGTACGGCCGGGGGTGCCTGGGGGTGAGAATTGGGGGGCAAATGCGAGAAGACACTTTGGGGGGACACCTGGAGAGGACAATTGGGGTGGTGACACTGGATGGGGGGCAAATCCTGGGGGAAATACCTGGAGGAAGACACCAGGAGAGGGGACACTTAGGGGACACCTTAGGGGACACTTAGGGGAAGACATCCAGGGGATCACTTAGGGGACACCTGAGGGGGTGGCATCTCAGGGTGGGGAGCACCTGGAGGGTTTTGGGGAGACCTCAGCAGGGTGACACCTTGATGGGGGGGTCACCTCAATGGGGAGAGTCACCTTGAGGAGGGGTTGGCACCTTGGTGTTGGGGGACACTTTGGAGGGCGGATGGCACCTTAGTGGGGGTGACACCTCAGGAGAGGGACACTACTTGAGGAATGCCACCTTGGGAGGGTGACACCAGGAGGGGAAGGCACACCTGTGGCTGGGCTGTGACACCTGGTGGCTGTGCCATCTCAGGGGGGTTGCCACTTGCAGAGGGGACACGTAGGAAGATGCCAGCGGAACGCCAAAACGGGTGTCACTGTCACCCAGGGGTGGGCTGTGAGTGTCCAGCGGTGCCACCCACCCGCCGTGTCCCTGTCCCCAGGCCGTGGCAGTGCACTGCATGCTGGGCCACGGCAGGACTGGCACCATGCTGGCGTGTTACCTGTGCAAGGAGCAGCGCCTGGCCGCCGGCGATGCCATCCGCGAGATCCGGCGCCTCCGACCCGGCTCCATCGAGACCTCGGAGCAGGAGCAGGCCGTGCTGCACTTCTGCCAGCGCCTCGGGTAGGTGCCACCCTCGCCAGGGTGTCACCACCCACCACGGGGGTCTCCTCCCCGCCAAATGTCCCCAGTTGTGGCTCACCGGTGGCGTTTGTCCCTCCACAGCGCTGGCGAGGAGACCTGAGGGCGTGCGTGGCATCCATGGGACTGGGCACCTCCAAGTGCCAGGCGTGCCCAGCTCCGTCCGTCCCCTCCTGCATTAAAGGACTGGCCTGTGGCTTCTCTCCAGGTCTGGTTTTGGGGTGCACATTTTGGGGATGCCTGGCCATGCTGGCCATGCTGGGCACCTGCAGGCCTGGCTTGGTTGGCAGCTTCATCCTGGGATTTGGGGTCCTGGGTTTGGGGTTCTTCAGGGTTCTGGTTCTGGATCCCAGCCTGGAGCTCCCTCAGGGGCCTGAATTTGGGGGCGTTCAAGGTCCTGGTTGTGGGGTTATTTGGGATCCTGGTTTTGGGGTCATCTGGAGTCCCAGCTCTGGGTCCCAGCTCTGGGTTCTGGTTTTGGAGTCCCAGCTCTGGGTCCTGGCTCTGGTTTTGGGGTCCCAGCTCTGGGTCCTGGCTCTGGTTTTGGGGTCCCAGATCTGGGTCCTGGCTCTGGTTTTGGGGTCCCAGATCTGGGTCCTGGCTTTGGGGTCCCAGATCTGGGTTCCAGCTCTGGTTTTGGAGTCCCAGATCTGGGTCGTGGCTCTGGGTTCTGGTTTTGGGGTCCCAGATCTGGTTTTGGGGTCCCAGCTATGGGTCCCGGCTCTGGGTTCTGGTTTTGGGGTCCTGGCTCTGGGTTCTGGTTTAGGGGTCCCAATTCTGGGTCCCAGCTCTGGGTCCTGGCTCTGGGGTGCCCCAAATGTTGTTTTTGGGGTCCCACGGGATCCCAGCTCTGGCGTGGATCTCGCTCTGGATCCCTCAGGGACCACCAGCAGCCCCCAGAGCTCCCCCCCAGATCTGTCACCCGCCGGCGCCGCGCTGCCACGTGGAGGGTGACAACCGTGTCAGCGCCCGGGGGGCCGAGCCGGGACGTGGACGCTTAAAGTGTAGCTTAGCCGGAATTGAGGCATCTCCATCCAAAAATCCAATCCTGGAAATCTCTTCTCAGCTGCTCCTAACCTTGGTGGCATTTAAATCCCGGTTGGAAGCGGTGTCACCGTCCCCGTTTCCGGGCGGGTGGCACATGGCTGGCAGCGCCCCGGGCACGAGTGGAGTCAGCGCCTCAACCAGCAGCTCCACGGTCCCCCAAAAAAATTCCTTTGGAAGGCCACAATGTCACGGGATGAGGTGCCAGGGTGGTGACATGACACCGGGGTGGTGACACCGGGGTGGTGGTGGCACTGCTGGCAGTCCAGCTGTGCCCTGCCCAGATGTGCCCAGAATTGGGGAGGTGCTCGCTGCAGGGTGTGGGGTCACTCCAAAACTTTGCACAACTGGCTTTGGTGGCCCGTGGTGGCATTTTGGGGACGCCCGTGTCCCCCAAGCGATGCCACAGCGAGGCCACCCCAGAGCACGGGGCTGTGTTGGGGTGCAGAGGCGGTTTGGGGGTGCCCAGCCCTGTGTGGGGACACAGTGGGGACACAGTGGGGACACAATGGGGACACAATGGGGACACAGTGGGGACACAATGGGGTCACGATGGGGACACAGTGGGGTCACAGTGGGGTCACGATGGGGACACAATGGGGACACAATGGGGACACAATGGGGACACAGTGGGGATGCAGTGGGGACTCAGTGGGGACACAGTGGGGACACAATGGGGACACAGTGGGGTGGGGACACAATGGGGATACAGTGGGGACACAGTGGGGACACAATGGGGACACAATGGGGACACAGTGGGGTGGGGACACAATGGGGACAGTGGGGACACAGTGGGGACACAATGGGAAGACAATGGGGTCACAGTGGGGACACAGTGCCGTGGGGACACAACGGGGACACAATGGGGATACAATGGGGACAGTGAGGACACAGTAGGGACAAAGTGGGGACACAATGGGGACAAGTGGGGACACATTGGGGACACAGTGGGGACACATTGGGGACACAGTGGGGTGGGGAAACAATGGGGACACAGTGGGGACACAAGGGGGACATAATGGGGACACAATGGGGACAGTGGGGACACAGTGGGGACACAATGGGGACACAGTGGCCACAGTGGCAATGCGGCCAACGATGCCCAGCCTAAGCGAAAGCTGCTTACGGCAGAATTATTGCCCTTAACCCCGCTGACCCCGCGCTGTCCTCAGAGTCCCCCGCGCTCGGGGGGCCGGGCCGGGCCGGGGGGGCTCCACCGACCCCCCCAAACCCTCCGAGGGGGGCTGAGCTTGGGGGGCACCGCCCCAGCGGGATCGCGGGGCTCCGGTGTGGCCGGCTCGGTGTCACACGTGCGGGGTTTGCACGTCCCTGGATGCCGGCTCTGCGCTGGGGATGTCCCCGCTATGTCCCCCTCCTGTCCCCAAGCCAGGCTGGCGAGTGGCCCAGCTCCGGCTCAGCCCGCCGGGGATGGGGAGGTGGCAGCGGTGGCTGTCCCCGTGTGGGGACACTTTTAGGATGGGATTAGAGAGGGGGAGATGGGATGGGGAAGGGCGAGCGGGGAGTGCTGGCACAGAGGGGACACAGGGCTGGGCTGCTTGTCACCCCCTGCCTGTCCCTGTGTCCCACGGGGGGTGTCCCACGGGGGGATCACACACCCAAACCCCACCCACGTGTCCCGTCCACGTCCCACCCGTGTGTCCCATCCACATCCCACCCGTGTGTCCCCTCTTTGTCCCACCCGTGTGTCCCCTCTTTGTCCCACCCCTGCGTCCCACCTCTGTCCCCTGTGTGTCCCAGGAGTGTTTGGCCTGTGTGTCCCGCCCATGTGTGCCATCTGCGTCCCCTCCACGGTGCCACCCATGTGTCCCACTCGTGTGTCCCACCCATGTGCCACCCCTGTGTCCTATTCATGACCCACCCAGTGTCCCACCCTATGTCCCCCGTGTGTCCCATTCGTGTCCTCCCTCTAGATGCCCCTCCCGCAGCCCCCCGTGCCTGCCCCGGTGATCCCCCATGTGTCCCCCGTGTCCCCCTCGCTTGTCCCCCCATGTCCCCTCCGTGTCACCCCACACGCCACCCCTGTGTCCTATTCGTGACCCCCGCCGTGTCCCACGCTATGTCCCACGTGTGTCCCACCCGTGTGCCCACTCGTTTCCTCCCTCTAGATGCCCCTCCCGCATCCCCCCGTGCCTGCCCTGGTGATCTCCCATGTGTCCCCCCCATGTCCCCCTCGCTTGTCCCCCCATGTCCCCTCCGTTTCACCCCACACGCCCCCGATCCCCCGCCCCACTCCGAGAACTACATCTCCCAGCACCCCTCGCTCCCCGCTGCCTCGCTCCGCCATTGGCTGCCTGGCGAAGCGCCCAGCGGCGCCTCCTGATTGGCTGTCGCCGTGGCAACAGGCGGCGGGGGGCGTGTCCGGGGCGGCCCCTCCCGCCATCGCGGGTTTGTTTGCGGCCGCCCGGCGGCGGCGGCGGCCGGAGCCCGAGCGGACCCGGACGGACCCGAACCGCGGCGGAAAGAGCCGAGAGCAGGCGGGAAGAGCCGAGCGCAGCCGAGCGCGGCCGGCCGGGCATGAGGAGCGGCGGGACGCGGAGCCCCCCGCGCCCCCCGCGCCCCCCGCCCGGGGCCGGTGCTCCCGGGGCTGCCCGGCCGAGCCCGCCGCTCCGCGGGCCCCGGTGACGCCGCGGGAGCCGCCGCAGAGGGGGCCTGGGCTATGCGGTGGTGGCTGCGCGCCGCCGTCCTCAGCCTGCTCGCCGGAGCCGGGGGTGAGGGGATGCCCCGGGGAGTGGGGGGCGAGCGGCGGGGCCGGTCTGGCCGGTGGCGGGGCTCGGGGGCGGGGAAAGGGTCTCGGTGTGTCCCGCTGTGTTCCGGCGGGGCCGGTCCTACCTGTGCTGGGGAAGCGTGGGGAGGCGGGGAACAGCTGGGGATAACGGGGGCGGGGGGCTCCGGGGGCGGGAGGAAGGTCCCGGTGTGTCCCGGTGTGTCCCGGGGTGTCCCGGTGGGATCGGTTTGGCCAGCGCCGGGTCCCGGAGAGGCGGGGGGCTGGGGGGGTTCCGTGGGCAGGCGAACGATCCCGGTGTATCCCGTGCCGTCCCGCTGCCATGCCGCTCCATCCCGGCGTGTGTCCCGCTCTCACCGGTGGCCCGGTGCCGGTCCCGCAGGCAGCGGGCGGAGCGAGCCCCGGGCCGTGGTGGGGCGCGTCGGGGGCAGCGCGGTGCTGGGCTGCGGGCTCCTGGGCGCGCACGAGGCTCGCCCGCCGCTCTACGTGATCGAGTGGGTCCGCTTCGGCTTCGTCCTGCCCATCTTCATCAAGTTCGGGCTCTACTCGCCGCGCGTGGACCCCGAGTACGCGGGTGAGTCGCGGGGACGGGGCGGGTGGAGGTCCCCGTGGGTCCCCGTGGGTTCCCTGTGGGGTTTCCCGTGTTTCCACTCGCTGTGCTTGGGTCAAACCGGGTGTTTCACCACATGAACCCCACTCCCGGAGAACTTGGGGGGCTCTTCTGGGGGTCTCGGGGGGCGCTGAGGTCCCTGCAGCAGGTGAGTGCCAATCCCCAAGGGTGGCAGGAGGGATGGGATGTGCCCAGCTGGTGGAGGGGATGCAGATCCCCACAGGGTGAAATTTGGGAAAAGCTCCCCCAACCCACCCCCGTGGGTGCTGGGGCATCTCCCGCAGGGTGGAACGAGCCCTGCCCGCCGCACCACCGGGGTGCCCCGGGGGCTTCGGGCGCTGCCTCGGCCGGTGCGGGTCGCCTGAAGGTTGAGGCTGGGGAGGGGATTTCGGGGGAGCTGCTAATTGGAGCAAAGCTGGGCCGGGCTGGGCGTGGGAGGGGGATATTGGCTGCTTTAGCGGGTATTTAAAGTGAGCGGTGGCAGAGGAATCCCAGCGAGAGGATCGCTGCGAGCACCCGGGGAAAGCCACAGCAGTGTGCCCTGGGCACGGGCAGGGCTGGCAGCCCGTGGGTGATTCGGGCTGAGCCCAACCCCGGCGCTGTGTGCCAGCCACGCACCGAAATCCCTGCTCCGACCTTTGCTCGGGGGACGGGATCATACCCAAAATTATCCCCTGCCTAAAAATCACCTCAGCAGGGATGCCCGCTCTCCACCCTGAACACACAGATTTTTTGGGGATGCTTTTAGCACCTCCAACTTGGCTCTGGGTGATGGGATCATACCTGCATCAGAACCCAAACCCTGGCGCC